GTCTAGAGGAGACAACTTTTTATGCAAACTATCTAAAAATAATGTATAAATAAATCATGTAAAAATGTATGTCTACCTTACTTCTGACACTGAGAGGAGGCCAGGTTCTCATAGGTAGACAGTGTGAGGTGGTTGAGGTGTAAGCAGGTCTCCAGATGATCACCAGTCTTTGTGGATCTGTTGTTGGACTTGATGATTTTCATGTGAGAGAAAGCAGACTCCAGAACTCTCCATCCATGHGACTTGTTGCTCTGGATTTGATCCCAATGTCATTTTGCAGAGCCAAAACCTAATTTTCAATCCAGAGCAGTCCAGACTGAAACACGGACATGAATTTGAACACATCCATCCATCCTGGTGGACAACTGCAAGTCTTTATAGCAGCCACAATCTCACTTTTATTTTTAAAATCATGGAAAAGCACATCTGCAGCATCAAACGCTTCTTTCAAAACTTCGTCATCGCTGAAAGATGTGTGTTGAGGCAGGTACAGGGCTGCATTAGCGTAGCAGCCTTACCTTAGGAGGGGAAATCCGCCTCGTAGCTTCTGTGCATTGTTTTGAAAGAAATGCTGTTCCACGTCATCCTTTTTGGACAAGCCAAGGCAGCGCTCGAATTACATTTGAGTCTTCTTCCCACTCCAGGTGAAAATAATAAGTTTTTATTTGCTTGTTAGCTGTCCTTCGTTCATCATTTTTTTTCGGCAGCAAGACCATGTTCGGAGTGCTGTTTCACAGCACCCAAAACTAGCGAGACTGGAGCGTGTTCAAGAATACAATGTTAAACAAACATTGCAAAGAGTGCGTTGAAGACTGCAATGTTAAACAATGTTGCGTTCTACAAGCTCCGTGATCCATTGCTCCATGAGCTACTGCTAATCAGCCAAAGATCTACCGGTAGATCCCGATCTACTGGTTGGCCTGGCCTGGTATATAAGATATACTGTATACTGTATCTTTTCTAAACAGAAAACTGTAAATCATTTCAAAGAGCGATGAGTTCTGCTCTTAGAAGTAAACACAGCCATCTTTGACAACGATGATAAAATCTGTCAGAGTCCAGCAGCCTCCTAGATGTCAGGGCCTGATAACGTGTGATAGTAAACCAGTAAACAGATGAAGAAGCCACTGTAGGCCTCTGTTGTCATTAAATGAATTCAGTGCAGTTTATTTAGAGTTCATCGATTCCCCACAACTGTGTTAGAATGATACATCAAAAATAAGTCCATTTAAATCATATTTACATCCAATTACAGTCATTTAAATTCCTATTATAATACAATACATTTACTTTTCAAAACTCTAGGAACCACAAGTAAACCTGCAGTTCATGCAGCTCTGGATGTTTGAAGTCAATTTTAATGTTTATTCTGAACTTGACAGGGAGTCAGTGGATGGAAGCTAAAATTAAAACTAAAATCCAAACTCTTCAAGCAGCATCTTGGATCAATTGAAAACACCAGGCCCAGAGAAAAGCACAAATRTCTGTAACAAATATGTGTGGATATGTTCTCGACTTCACAGCTTCACCAGGGTTTGCACAAAATTTCATCAGAACTGCTGAAATAACAAGCAACTGTTTTGTTCATCAGTTTCACGCAGGCATCAGAGTCCAAACACACAAAGCTTTGGTTTGCTGCATGCTTCAAATGAATGTGAGTTAGYGTTCCATCCACATCACAGTCTAAAGACACAAAGGTTTTGATTGGCTGTGTGTTTGGCGTGATGAGGAGTGTTTGTGTGTGTCAGCTGGGATTGCCTCCGCTCGCTTGTGACACTCTAAAAGGATAAGCAGGTGTTGCTAATGGATGAATGGATTAGAGGTTTTAGTTTTTTTAGACTGTATACAGATGCCTGTCACTTTTTGTTGCTCCTTTCATGTAGCTGTATAAGTGGACAATCTGGTTAAAAGCTGGATTTTATTCAGTTTCAACACCACAATGTATTTAACAAAATATTCATTTAAAAAATGTTTTCAGTATCTGTGTGATTTTCATTTCTCTCTYTTTCTCTTTTTTTATTTTTTTGGTTAACGCTAATTATTACGGAAGAGCATTGCATTCGTTAAAGAAAAAAAAATAGACCCCTGATCCCGTAATTACAAGATCCGGATTTTTTATTTACAAGAAAAGATCCATAAATACAAGATCCTGAACCTATAATTATGAGGAATGTTAAAGAGTGTCATAGCTGTTCTACACTACAGGAAAAGTGGACACTAACAGCATTTTCTTGTTTGATGTGCTTTTATTTCCTCTTATGAGAGAGAGAGAGAGAGA